CTTTCTTTCTTTCTTTCTTTCTTTCTTTCTTTCTTTCTTTCTTTCTTGTTTTTCAAGATAAGGTTTTTTTTTTTTTTGTATAGCCCTAGCTGTCCTGGAATCACTCTGTAGACCAGGCTGGCCTCAAACTCTCAGAGATCAGCCTGTCTCTGCCTCCCAAGGGCTGGAATTAAAGGCCTGTGCCACCACTACCTGGCCAGAAACTGTATTTTTTTGTTTGTATGTTTGTTTTTGTTTGTTTGTTTGTTTGTTTGTTTGTTTGTTTGTTTTTCACAACAGGGTTTCTCTGTGTAGCCTTGACTGTCCTAGACTTGCTTTGTTGACCAGGAACTCACAGAGATCCACCTTCTCTGCCTCCCCAAGTGCTGGGATCACAGGTGTAATCCCACAGTACGCAGCTAGGAAGTATTTGTTCTTTGTGTAGCCATGGCTGACCTGGACTCACTCTGTAGACCAGAATGGCCTTGTAGAACAGCCATCCACCTTCCTCTGCCTCCCAGAGTGCTGGGATCTCAGGTGTTAGCCACCACACCTAGCTTAGAAACTGCATTCTTAAGGAAAGTTATTTGAGCTTTTTCTGAGCAAATCAATACTATTTCAACATTTCAACCATAATCATCTCGTTTTCGTCAATGTGAGGAAAAAGAGGCTTTTGTGATATATGTGTGTGCATATATATTGCATATTATATATGCATAGAGAAATTAACTCACTGATGTTCTAAAACGTGCCTAATCAAAAATCTGTAACAATCTATAATCCATCAGAATCTAGTAGAACATTGACTGCTACATGAAATATTTGTTAATAATAGCATGTGTGATCATTTTAGCCCAAATGGAGTCATAGTAATTCTGGTGGCCTTAAACTCTAAATAATTGCAAACTTTTAAGAAGCAACTAAGACAACCACAGCTTTCTTTCCTGTGATTGTAAATAAATTTTAAAATCTCTCCCATCATGCATGGCTGTGAAAATACATCTTGTGATCTCTCAAAGAACATTCTTACTGCTTCAAAATCATCTTCAACATGTCCACGTTCCCACCGCACACGCCTGTGTGTGGTACACTGTCACACCAGCAGCGTGATGCGTCACAGCTTGTTCTTTAATTGTGCTGCTGTGTTAGAGCGAGATGGGTGTCTCTGGTCAGATGGTTTCAGAAACACAAAGTTTTTTTAAAAAAAAGGTGTTTAGCCAACTTTCAGAGTATTCTTTACAAATTGTGAAGTGCATTGTGAAGGTCTGAGGTAAAATAAGCAGTGACCCTGAACTATTTTATCACAGAATTGTTTTACTATGAAATTTAAAAAAAAAAATTTCCTGTTGCTCAGTATTATTTTTTAGTACTTAAGCCTTTATCTAGATCATTTGCAAGGGTTAGTTCAGTAGTTTAGAAGAAATAGTATGGAATACAGTAAGGTCAGTTAACCTAGAATTGTTGTGCAAATATTTTAATTACTTTATAATTCCATCTTATTGTTGTCCTAAATCAGATAATGTGTCACTGGTTGGCAAGTATCAAAACAATACTTTTCTGGCTATACAGCAAAAATGCCGATGGAGCTTCAGTGCTCAAATAGTTATTCAAGTATTAGTAAATTAATGTTCATTTAAATTAGTTAGAAGGTACTAAGTGTGAAAAAAAAAGTTTTTTTTCTCATATTTAAAAGCAAATTCATTTTTAATTACAGATACTTTACTTTTTCTCTAATTTACATGTAAGTATATTATAAATGGGTTTTTTTCTAAATGTTTTGAAATCTTTCTTTTCTCTTACAGTTAAAAAAAAAAAACAGAATTATCTAAAGGGTCCACATTTTGCTTTGTTCACCAACCTGTACCTTGTCTTTGAGACTAATGCTGTCTTGGCTTGTCACAATAAGCCTGGGAGCTCTTTTGGGTTTGGGTATGTACAGAGACTCTACTTTTGTTACTCATGTTTTCTGTCCAGAATCGAGGCGAGCGTGTGCTGCTTGGAAGGTTCTTTGTGACTGGCACTAATGGCAAACCTTGTCTTTGGGGAAACAGAGGCTTTTAGACTTCAATAGCTCTGTTACCAAATTTTCTGTGAATATGCGTGTTTTATGAAAAACATCCACGTGCAAGTTCTAGCAAACTCGGCATCTTTTCTTAAAAGATAAATTTACAAATTACATTTACTGATGGTCAGCAGCTATTGACTCATCTTGTTCTAAAATTAATACAGTATAATAGCAATATCTGTTAATATTTTGAATATTTTTACACCTTCTAAAAGGTCATTCTGAGAAATTCAATATATGAAATATTGTGATGAATTTTACTAAAAAGATTAAGCCAGATCATGCCATAAAACACACTTCACAAATACATAATAAAATGTACACATAAACCAGAAAGCAAGCAACAGTTAATTTTTGTTAATAGACGTGAAGAGGCCGCATGGACAGTTTTCTCTTAAATACACGTTAAGTGGGCTTAGAGTCGGCAGTAGCTACCTTCTGCTTGCTGAGCAGGTTCCTGCATAATCTTTTGGTAACATTCGTATTGCGCCGTCATGATCTTGTTTCGAGTGACTCCCAACTCCGTTTGGTTAAAATCTTCATCTGTCGCGGCTGTGACAAGCGCCTGAGGGGGCAAAGCAGCGAGGGCTTTAGAATGGTGGGAATCTTTGTCAGAGGCCTGAGGGACAGCCCGAGAGCAGTGAGGTGCCTGAGCACTAGCCCCAAGGCCCGTGGCTGACCACAGCACCGCCCAAACACTCGCTCTGAGATGCCAACAGCTACATCTACAGTCCCGCCTGGCTTCACTGCGTGTGGGTAGGCTATCAGCCACTACTCACATGAGTCTCTTTTGCACTGTAAAATAGTAGAGAGTAGCATCCAGCTATCAGGGAATACCAACCACATCGAAAGCAATCGAATTCGTACATCTGTAGCATCCAAATAATCATTTCCTCACTGCGCGGCATGCCCTTGCCTGATCAGCATCAATATTGACTGTGACTTGCTGGTAGGTTGAATTTCCCGCTAGCGCTGTCTAAAGCAGTCACCCTGTGAAGGGGTGACTGAAACTCTAGAACATCAGGACTATTTTTAAGTCAATTAGTCTTTACTGCTGTGGGCTGGACCCCACAGCCGACCCCAAGACAATACTAGAAAAAAAGACATACACCGTTTTTTGAAAAGGCTTGTTAGAAATTAAACAAAGTAATAATAATTTCAAATGGATTTGCACAGTGTCCCTGCGTGAATTCAGGGAAGGTAACAGTTCCTTATTCTGCGGGAACTCGCGTCGGCTTGCTGGCAGGCTTCACGGAGGGTGTAGCTGAGACACAGCTCTGCCCTTTGAAGTCCAGTCAGTTACCACGATAACATCTTATAAGGGCAGACACTGGGCTGCTTCTAGACTCGAGGGTGTTGTCCTAAGTGTGGACTCACAGAAACGTAACACTGCTTTTTCGCTCGTTTAAGTTTTCAGTACTCTCTTTTTTTTTTTTTTTTTTTATCTTTTTGTTTGAATCTTTTTGAGGGCTTTGCTTGGAATCACCACAGAAAAATTCTTTTTGCTGGCACAGAACTGGATGAGGTTATGTCTCTGGGTTTCTCGTGCACATAAAGAGAGAAGAGCAACAGTGGTTTTAATTCAATGCAGAGAAAAAGATGAAGAGAAACTTAACTACAAAGAAGGGACGCCAGGAGGCGGCGGCTCTTCTGGCTTTGGTAGCCCTCTGGCTTTACCGCTCTGACACCCGTGGAGAGAGGCATGTGGATGTGCACTCACACACATGGAGACACACTTGCCCCAAGTCTAGCACCAGTACCTATCTGAATGAGCCAGTTGATGAGTGGACGAGTAAGGTAATACACAAGGCAGCACACAACCTCTAGGTACTTTCAATCGATATATGCCAGTTGGTGGAACAAAAGAAAATTTTTAAAAGACTAGGATATGATTTTCTTCAAAGGATTCTCTGAATCCATGTGTCTCTCTAAACATATTTATGTGCTGTGTATATTTGTACTACTACTATAAAGCGTCATCCCAATGTCTTTCACACTTGACCTCTTCAACATGAGTTTTGCACGTGCCCATTGGTTATTCCTTCCAAGGACCAACAGTCTGTATTGGTTATAAAAATTCAAAGTATAAATAATACTAAAAGAAAATGGATTACGGCTGTGTGGATTGGATATAAAAATGAAATCAACTTAGTCATCTAATAACTGCTCTAACTTGTATTTATTAATGTCTATCAATTAGATGCAGATTTTAACAAAGCATAAATAATCATAACTAATGAGATAAATAAGTAGGACAAATGCTTACCACATAAAGAGGCAACAGAAACAGGAAACATAGTATATGATTTTTATCCATCATTAAAGTCCAAATGAAATGTGCTGTACGTTCAAACTATAAAAAAAGAAAGAAAATTCAATACTTGTGAAATTAATCTATGCCTCAGAAAAGCTGTTGTAATTCTATATTAATTCTAACGATTTGACTAATAGTCATATGTGTTACAAATATTGAGAACATGATGGCTTAGAGTATAATAGAGTTTAGTGAAATATAATCTAGTTTAATTTAACTTACAAATAAATCACTTGATACATGTCTTTTTGTGTAATTAGAAAGTATCTTGCTTTCTTTGCCTTTACCAAATTGGAATTATTTAACCACAAACATAATCAGTTTTACATGACTATCTTTTACATTGTATTATATATAATTTATGGTTATTTATCATAAATATTAAATCTATCTGTAACTTTCTGAGTTCAGTTTAAGGAAGGAAATTACTCTCAAGCCAATTGCCTGAGAATTCAAACAACATAAAAATGTACTTTCAATTCTTCACTGTAGAAAACTGTGATTAAATTTGTATTAGTACTGATTACCAGGAGGCAGATTTTGAACCACCTAGGAGACACATCTGTGAGGAATTATGCATATTAAATTAGCCTCTGGGTATGACTGTGAGGGATCATCTGGATTTGGGTTGCTTGGGATGGAAAGACCTAGCTTAGCTGTGGGGAGCAGCACTCTGTGGCCTGGGACCATGAACTAAATAAAAAGACAAAGCCGGCTGAGTGGGCGCACTCATTGCTGACTGCTTCTTGACTGTAGACAAAGTAACCAGATGTTTCAAATCTCTACTGTCCTTTCTTTCTTTGACAAAATAAACTAATCCCTCAAACTGTGAGCAAAAAATAAACCCTCTTCCTTTAGGTTTGTTCCTGACAGGTATTTTATTAAAGCAATCAGTAGTTAATACAGAAATTAATTATTTTAAATCAGGAAATAAAAAGATTCTCAAGGTCATCCACATTGTTGAAATAAGGCTCCGGGGAGGAACAACATTAAGCAAATGTTAATCTAGTGTTAGATCACATTTCAGGCTGGTAAAAAGTGGTCTCTCAAAGCTGGCCTCACCACTGGCAGGAGAGCTGGCCCTGTCCCTCACTAGCTGCAGCATTCAGGAGACTGGGCCCTGTACCTTGCCAGGGCAGCTCAGTAGAGCTGGCTCTGGTAGCATAAGGACAGGAATGCTGAGCTGAGCCCAAGGGCATGCGAGCTGCCCCTTGCCAGCTACAGCATTGGGTGAGCCAACCGGGGCAGAGCTGGAGAGCTTGCCTTGGTGGGGTGGGTACAGGAGAGCTGGCAGACTGAACTGCTGGAGTGCGTGAAGGGACAGTCCTTCAGATCCAAAGCTGTGGGATCTCATGACACAGGGCAGCAACAGGATATCTGAGAGGAGTCCAGTGAGGACCCAGCATTGGTAGCGCAGCAGAAGCCGGAGGCCTCGAACCACACCAATGACTCAGTGCAGAGAACATTTGCAAGTAAAGACGTGTGGACAAAGGGTGTGCTGTGGGACACACTGTCAAACTACAGCTTCCACGACAGGATTTCTTTTTATTCTATCTTCTTTTCTTCTGGCTGGGGGATGAGGGGGAGGTTTTACAAGGGCAGATATAAAGAGACTTGGAGATGAGTGGAGTGTATGATGTGAACGGCACCAAGAATCAGTAAAAAAAAAATTCAACGACCTCTCAAACACCATCTTCTAGGTGATACTAAGAGACAGGCTCTGCGGCGCTAACGTCCCTAGAAACTTACTTCCTTGAATACCCTAACACAGAAGTTTTCTACGTGTGGGTTATCATGACATAAACCCTGGACATAACACACATTTAAATTAACATGTAACAATGACTTTTCAGAGAGAACAAAAATGTATTCAGTAGATATTTTCCACTGAGCAATGAACTTGGATTAAATTCTGTTAGAAGAAAAGGCATGATATTCATTATATGACTAGCTTCAGAATACAATTAGAAAGCCCTTTCCCACGTGACCCCATGTTCTGTGGTTTTATGACAGGCTCTCACTGGTGGTTAGACTGAATTTGCTCCACTGTTCATCCAATTGACTCACCAGCTAGCTGTGGCTGTTCTTGTCAGTCATAGGCCACCCTCTGAATATTGTTTCTCTTCTATCAATCAGCTACCCTGGATGTGTTTTCTGTGATCTTAAGGAAAGTATACCTGAAAATCAGGAAGGCCTGTATTAATCTCATATCTTAAAACATAGTGTGCTAGACTGAAAACTAGAAATGAAAGTTTCTGTAATTTAGTAATTAACAAGTTGTTACTTTAGTTGTTAATTACTTTTAGCCCCTGGAAAATCTAATTTCCAAATACTTACATGCACAATTGTCTCCAGACTCGAATCACATTTTCTCCTGGATCATGTCCAACATTGTCTTCAAGAATTTCTTAGTTACAAGGGTCATGACCTAAAATATGGATTGATTTAAAATAATTTAATATGATGTTAACAAAACAAAATTATTTTCATAGTAAACCTAAATTTTCTAAGTAATATGGTTACTAAAATTATACATTCTTGAGCTATTCTAATTTTTAATAAACTACAGAAATGATAGTGGAAAGAGTAGTCTTCATCCTGACTTTTAGATCTTTGTTCATAATAGGTTTGAGTTACTATTGAACAGTTTAGTTACTGTACACAATTTTTCAGTATAAATCATAGATGTGTAATAAGAACACAGTTGGCCTAGAAATTTACATATTCCCTATGAATAAATGAATTTCAAAGTGGTTATATTTTTAAAGAAAATATTTCCAGGCCTGGTGGTGCACACCTTTAATCCAAGACTCTGGAGGCAGAGACAGGCAGATTTCCATGCGTTCCAGGCCAACCTGGCAGCATGGGGAGACTGAAGCCAAACAGGGCTATACAATGAGACCCCATCTCAACAAACAAAATAATTTTTAAAATGATTCTGAATATGAATTTATGTTTTTCTTTTTATTGGTTTATTCATACATTTTCCTTAGGTATTTATAACAAGTAGATTTTTCTTTATTTCTCTCTTTACAGGGTTTTCAATCATTCTGTCTTAAAACAATGAGTGTGGTTTTCTAATCTTATCAGTGAAACTCGAATTATCGTCCAGAATCAATGAGAAGATGCAGTTTTGGGGGATAGGGAGAATACATGCATTTGTATTAAAGAAGTAAAGGCCTCAGTAGTTTGCTCACAGCTCTTCTTTTCACGGCACTGATAACTTATTAAATTACAGCAATGTGAAACCCATCGCAAAGTAGCATGTTTCATCTGGAGCCAGGAAACGTAGGGAGCACCCAGGTTTAATGCCAGGGAGCCTGGCAGTTCCAACTTCCAGCTTCAGCCTCACCTCTCTGCTCTCATTACCAGACCTAAAAACAAAAATATCTATTTGCTAGAGTAACAGGAAGATAACTTTGTAGGTTCTGTTCATGGAAACACTTACAGCTCTACACTTGGATGAATATATCTTACTTTTATCTCATTAGTTTAACCACCATCACAGTCTTAATAGTGATTCATTTTGCATCATTTTTTTCTTCAAACTACAGAAAGATAATTCATTTTGTGCTTGATATCTAAAATAGAAAAAAATATATTTGCAAACCTGTATGTTTGGTGGTTACATGGTTAACAAAGTCATTAAGTCTTGGAGATTCTGTTATTTTTTTTTCTCTCTCTCTTTTTAACTATTTACCATGTATTCATTTTTTTTTTTCTGAGGTGAGGATTGAACCCAGGGCCTAATGCTTGCTAGGCAAGCTCTCTACCACTGAGCTAAATTCCTCAAGAATCATTTTCTTAAAAAAAAGTTAAAAGAGGGCTGGAAGCATGGCTCAGCAAGCCTGACGACCTGAGCCCCCACAGGACCTGGTGACCCACAGGAAAAAAGGCAAGAGTAAGCCCCTCCAACTGTCTTCTGACCTGCGCGCACACCATGCAAGTGCTTCCCCACCACAAACACAACAAATAAATATAAAAACTAAATAAGAAATCATGTATTTACAAAGCCAAATACATGATTTTTGGTTTGAGGTTCTGCCTCTAATGAGCTGACTTTTTTTAAGACTGGCTTCTCTTTAGAAACATATCTGCTCACGATTTCCTCTACTCGTTCTCTGGTGTCTCTAGTGTGCCTGAGAGTATAGGGTCAGACTGCATCGAGTACCAGTGGTAGCCCTACTTGAGCACACACGTGCAAACTCGCGTGACAGCCCAAGCAACGATGGCCACGTCAGCAGACGTCTACACGGCAGGCTTACCTGAATGCAGTCATCTATGTTTGAATTTGAACCGATTATCTACAAGGTCAGGAAGGTCTGAAATTCATTCTAGTTAAGCATAGAGTAACTTTTAGATGTTGTTTGCTTCACATTTGTTTGTAGTTTGTTTTTAAACATCATATTGATTTTCATTTCTCTAGGATAATTGGGACATCGAATAATACAACTGAGTTTTTGATTTACCTGACTCTAAGACACAAGGGTTGCAGAAGGTCCTCTGAGGTGAAGCCTCACCTCTTTTTCTGGTCTATGGCAGTGTGCGGCTGCTCTAAGTTGTCCACTCCCTCCACTCTCTGGTTTGGCTCTTCAGGGACAGAAATCACATCTGAGTGTATGTGCACCTTCCTGACCGGACGCTCATAAATACTTACTGACTACATAAATAAATGAATGAATTAACCAATGAAATATTTCAGAAAACCAACATTATGCTCAAGACTTTTTATCCTAAGTAGCAATTATCATTTCTTATCTTAGAAGGCTTTTGGTTGTGATGCTACACAGTGGTTCTCAACCTGTACCTATCTGATGCCCTGCATGTCAGGTGTTTCCGATACAGTTCACAGCAGTAGCAAAATTGCAGTTATGAAGTAGCAATGAAATAATTTTAGGCTAGTGGTTGGGGTCAGCACAGCACGAAGAACTGCATAAAGAGTCGCAGCATTAGGGAGATTGAGAAGCACTGATCTACACTGAGCACCAGATTCTGATAATTAACATTCTTACATGAGCATCACTACTGCCTTACAAAATCAGATCACGAAAGCTACTTATTCAGTCTCAGAACGCCAGGTGCCAGGATGTCAAATAAGTCATGGTCTACTAAGCTGGGAACGCATCAAGATTACACAAATTTAAAACACTGGGAGGTATGTTTAAAAGATGACCAGTTCACAGTCATCCATATGTATGTAAAAATACATGCAAATCGGAATAGAAATAAATATTCTGCTTGGGAGACAGATAGGTTTAACAAAGCAGTGCTCTGATGCTTTACACACAAGTCAAGATCAAATTTCCTTCACCATGTACAGGGCTAAACCCTTCAAGGCAAAGTGCTTCAAAATCATGTTTGGAGATTTCCCAAGCATAACATATTGAAAAACATTTCACCTGACATCGCTCTTATTTTTGTTGTTATCTACTACATTTCAAAATCAGAGTTCTAAAAAAATGCATCTTAGTAGTCGCCAAGTCATCTTGGCTACAGTAACTGAAGAAATATTCTCAATGCAAAGAGTTCCATGTTTATAGCTTTCCCTTGTCACGCCATCCCTCGGTGATCTGAGAAACACGCTTCTAGGAGGAGCAAAGGCGTGCTTTCCACAGGAGTACCTTATTCCCAATCAGGGGCAGGTGTGGCCCTGTCACTCACAGCAGCAAACAATCATGGCCGGCCGCTGTCGGCATCCCTGGAGAACAAGGGCCCTATCTGCCCTCTGGATAGAATGTATCTTCTCCAGTTTGACACTGTCCCCACCTGATTCACCTCATTCCACTTATTTAGGAAAGCAGCCTCATAGGCATTTGACACCAGCGCTCTACGGAAGGGTGTGTGCGTGCGTGCATGTATGTGTGTGTGTGTGTGTGTGTGTGTGTGTGTGTGTGTGTGTGTGTGTATAGTAGACTGTAAAAAATAAAATGAAAAAAGATTACAGCAACAAGTTTGTGTGATAATCATCAATCACGTTGTGGACACTTGTACTCTCCACAAGACACGCCAATGTCCAGGCTGTGGGGTGATTCAGTTCACAGCTGTCACCTGCTCGTACGAGCTCTTATCCAAGTTTCCCTGATAATCGTCACAAGCAGCGAGTGGGGAAATGGAGGTATCACGCCTTTCACCATGAGGTCTGCAGTTAGTCACAGACAGACCCTGGGTGGGTACGTGGATAGCAGATATAACTGAAAATCAGCTTAGGTTGTATCTCAGATTGGTAGATGCAGATTTTGTACGGCTCTTAGGGGAAGTACATTTACTTGTGACTGTCTTTTCGAACACTTTCTTTGCACACTTCCTCTGTCTCATCTACATTAAGGTCATTATGAATGCACTTTTATGAAAATGCATTCCACATTAATCAGTTAACACTCTTAAGCAAATGATCTTTCAGATCTTGAATTATTTACTGACAACTGAATGTGACGTGTAGAATATAGTAAGTAGTTTCTTTCAAACTTGGGGAGAGAGGAAGTCAATGAGGAGTTCAGAGTAAGCAGCCGAGTCTGCTGGCAGGATCCCCAGCGCCCTGTGGTTTGTTTGAAGACACTTGTCAGAGTCGAGGAAGCTGCAGTTTGCTCTCAACTGAGTCTGTAGCCACAATGGCACTGGTACTATTGCCTAACATTTTCCCATTCTAGTTTCTGGTCTCAAGGATTGTTTATGAATGATTTATTTTCCCTTCTCAAAGTTAGAAAGACTGGAAAAACTGGTTCTCTATGAAAGCAGTTTCCTTACGCGCAAACAGGACAAGTACATATCCTTGCTCTCGAATTCTCCCCAACCATCAGAACTTCAAATTTTCGAGTAATTTATCATCACAGAAAGAATGTTGAGAAACAGAAGTTACTTGAAGCACAACTTGTGAGTCAGTCACAACATTATATAATTTACCCTTCTGATTTTAATTTTCAAAGCTGCCTGGGTTCATTTACAAAATAACCTTTTCTGCTCAATAAAGTTCATGAATTTTGAAAAGGACCCTACTCTTGGATTATTGTAGGATAAATATGTTTTGTTTTACAAAAAAATATTAATAAATATAGCTAATCGGTGCTGATTTGTCAGGACACAAAGATGCAAATGTTTGCATGCTACCTGCAAGCTGCTCATTCTATTTCCCATTTTATTATTATTCACATACATGTATACATACTTTACATTTGTTATGTTATATTAAGTTAATTTCTAGTTGAGTTGCCTAATCCTAATATTAAAAGAGTATGTTCACGCTAAGAAAAAAATAGTTTCCATCTTCTATTCCTCTGCCTCTTAAGTACTCTGAGTTATTTTAGGCTCAAAGCCATATTCTTTTTCTTTGTTTATTTACCCAGCCACAACAGAGCTGGCCAACAGAAGCTTCATTTCCCACACATGACTAGATGCTCTAATATCCTAAACCTAGGCTTTAGCAAAGGTCAG